GGCAGGGAGGGCAACGACTAGATTAGGTGCCTAGGGAAGAAAGCACGAAAGGGGAAAATAGATGTTCTGTAAGTAAAAATATCCCCATCCACATGGAAACAAGGGTATTTTCTGCATTTCATTCACCCCCTTTGTTGCTTGTTTTGTTTTAAAGCGGCGGGGAATGTCAAACAGCTGTTTTTACAGCTTCTGTCACTTTGTCAAAGCCGGCCTGTGCTGTCTGACTGCCGGGCACACCCAGACAGCACTGCGGGTGGCGAGGAGCTGTGTGAGCAGATGGGCCAGGGCTGCAGGCAGCTGCCGCAAGAGACAGCGCCTGGCCTGCATCACGCTCCTGGGAGCCAGGAACCAGGACCCCTGGGAATGCTGCGGAAGAGAGATAAGCAAACATTCTCTTTCCTGATTTAAAATTAAAAAAAAAAAAAAAAAGTCACCTAGGGGAAATCTTCCCTCAGTGGAAACAGCACAAAAACACAAAATTCAAAGTCAGATGGTATGGACTTAGGCCCCAACTCTACCATTTCTGAACTATGTGGCATTATTAGGCTGCTTGTTTCACCCCTGAAAGTCTGTTTCCCCATTTGTAAAATAGGGATAATACTTCACATGGTTCTCATAAGGATTAAATAAGGTAATAACATGGCACGCAGCTAGAATATAGTAAATATGTTAAAAACCTATATTTGATTTTACAAAAAAAAAGAAAAGAAAGGAAGAGAGGGAGGAAGGAAGGAAGGGGAGAGAAAGAGAGAGATGGCAAATACAGAGATAGAGCTAAAGAGATACTGAGATGGAGATCGAGGTCAAGATCAAGATCCAGGAAAGTCCTTCAGATGAATGTTTGGTTCCTAATAAATACAGGAAGGACTTCTCATGCTCCCTCTTGTCCTCCCATTCTGTTACTAGCGAGGCCATTTGGAAATCGGAGGTGACTCGCTATCTCCCCTCCCAAATAAACCCTCCCGCAGCTCTTAATCCTGCCAAGTCCAACAGAGGCCTTCACCACCACGGGAGGCCCCCCAAGGGAGGGGCTTCCTCTCCTGGTGGTCTGTCCCTCCTGAGAGTTACTGTACAACTTGATGTGAGCCTGTGGTGAGGTGGAAATGGGACTCAGTGGGGAGAACAACTAGGAAAGAGACAAAGGCATCAGATTATAAAAGGAGAGAGCAGTGGGTCAAAGGTGTGGTCAAGATCTTAGTCAAGGTCAAGGATTAGGGCCCTTTCCTCACAAGACCACACACAGGTCATCCAATTAGCCCTTCATAGGGCTGTTGCCAGCTCATCTGCACCCTGGTCTTCCTCATTCTCATCCCAGAAGAAAAATCAGTGTTTTCCATGGGGCTTGGAGCATTACCCAGTTCTGTCCTTGTGCTGACCCTGTGTTTGGCCATCTGAAAGCATGGCGCTCAGCCCGACCTGCTGCAGAGACGCCTTTGGGGCCTGCTCCCACCACCACCTTCATTTGGGCCCACCCAGAACACTCACAGGGCCAAGAGCAAGAGAGTTCAAAGTTATAAATCAAGCTAACAAACTGGGATAAAATATACACTTATCCTTGACAAATATATCTGCATAAACCTGGAAGCTTTAAATATAAAATTCACAGGTCCTTGGAATTCTCCTCTGACACAGAGCTACGTGGAAGTAGTTCTAGCCCCTGGCCTGTCCCCTACCTCTTGCCATGCTGGGTTCTGTCTCACCCTTGAGGGACCGCACACACACGCGCACGTGCACACGCACACGTTCAGCCCACATGTCCAAGCTCTATCCACACTCCCAAT